TTCCCTACGGATCTGATATGCACTTTCTTCTCACTCCCATATTCATTAATACAATTGCCCCAAGTGCAGGTGTATACCCAGTAAGTGCTGGGATTCTACACTTACTGATTTTTTTTTTTTCTTTACCTCATTTTTAATCGTTAATTGCGAAAGAATTTGTGCTGCACTTCTTTCCCTTCACCCCATGACAAATATGGATTTTGGACCTTAAAATTGGTTAAGACCAGCGCACAGTTGCTGAAAGAATAATTTAGCCTGAAGCACCTTTATTATTGCCGATGACACATGGAAAAAAAAGACTCTAGCTCTGCTTCCAGAACCCTGGTGGAGATTGCGGTGCTGGAAGTTAAAAACCCAACATGGCACCTTCTTACAGGCTTAAGTCTAAACGTTCAACAAGCATTTTGAAAAAGTAACATATTTGTCCCTCAGCTGTGATTACCTTTTTCAGCAAAGGCTGAGAGGTCATGAGAGTCCCATGGTGCTAATAAAGCCCTAAGCAGTTCACTTTTTCCATCTGCAAGAGAAACAACCATAGCCTATTAAAGAAATGCTTAAAAATTAATTCACTTAACTTCACTGGGCTGTTTTGTAGATCCTCTTGCACCTGGAAGTAGAGATTGCTGATGGTTTTATTAGGAGTATGGGACCATGATCCAACGGTAGGTCTACACACTTTAAAAATAAATGTTCTTACTCAGGTTAAGAACCAGTTACCTTACCTTCACTGCTATTTTAATTTGGGTTAGCAGCTTGAGTTCAAATCTATAGAGAAAATGGATTGATCTCTAGCTGTTAATGCATGTTAAAACCCGAGTCACCTTGTCTTTCCTGATGGTTTTTAACCCCAGCTGGCCAGCTTGGATGAGCTAATCCAAGATAAGAACACATTTTATGCAGTGTAAGTATTGCTCCAAGTTGGTGTAGGGGTTCTTATGTTTTAAAAATGGGGTAATTCCAGTTGCTTTTGTTTCTCGCTCCTATTTTAACTGCATTGTGTGTTAAACCCTTGGACTAAGGGATTAAATGCTTTTTTTGAAGCTGGTATTAGAGGCTTTCAACACAGCTTTGTTACTGGTTCTTACAGTTCTTTTGATACTAGTTACTAAAATCACTTAAATTCAAACATGTTGGGATTTTTTTGGCAGGGCAGATGAGAAGTTAAGGCAAATAAATAATCAGAATATGACCCTTGTAGGAGGGGAAGGGAGGGTACCAATGGTTCAGTAATTCATGGATTAGTAGAGCTACAAAACACTGCTATGCATGACAGAAGAATTGGAAGCTCATGAGATTTATTTTACCTTAAATCCTTTCTGAGACCTCAGGCTACTTAGATGAGCCAAGATGCCTTCAGCATCCAACAGTCCTGATCTGTTCCCATTCACCTTATCTTACCTTCTGCCTCCTGCCACCACAAGCCTTTTTAGAGTGTTTTTTAACATGCCTGAATGTTTGTGGTTCTGTAGCAGCAGTGTGTCATCTTGTATTCTAAAAGGTAAGTGACTTGGAGAACCAGCCTCAGTTCTTCCAAATCTTTCTTGGGGGGGTGGGGGGATTCTGCTAGATCATAAGATTCAAAACAACTATTGCACACATCTGGGAGAGAGCCAACAAGGAGTGAAAATAGGAATCTAAATTGCAGTTGCCTCTAAAATTTGGGACTACATCATGGGGGATTTCAGAAAGAAAACCTGTCAAATCTGGAAATTCTACTCCTCCCTGGACAGGAACACCCCCCCCCCCCCCCCCCAAAAAAAAAAAA